GACGGGGACAGACGAGGGAAAACAACACATCAGACTGAGGGGGCAGGATGGTGCAGTAGAGCGAGGGCTCACCTTGAGTCTGGCCGACTTCTCGTGCAGGGCCGTCATCTCCCTGCGCAGCCTGACTAGTTTGTTGTGGTAGAGCTTGGCCTGGTCCATCTGTGGGAGGGAGAGAGAGAGTGAGTGAGGGGGAGAGAGAGAGAGAGAGAGAGGGAGCGAGAGAGACAGAGAGAGAGAAAGTGAGTGAGGGGGAAGGAATAGAGGGAGAGAGAGAGAGAGAGAGAGAGAGAGATAGAGAGAGAGAGTGTGTGGGTGAGGAGAACATTAAAATGTGAAAACAATATCTTCAAAGTGTGTGCGCGTGATTGCTCTTATCTAGGGGAAGTAACCATTATAATATTGTGACAGGATTATTTGTTAAAGTCATTACCCCCCATGCATTATACTCGCTTACTTGAACAAACAAGAAAAAAAAAAAATTATATATTTAGTAAATAAAATAAAGAAGTAAAAAAAGTCACTGAGCAGGGAAAAGAAAAGTATATCACTTTGAACCTGCCCCCATTTGTTGCATTTCAATCTCAAGCTTTCACTCACTTGAGCCTATTCCGTCCCGTGTATTTACGGGAAGCGCTTTATCGATCGACATATAAGTGCCGAAGATTAGAAGTGTTACAAGAGAGTAACAAACACAAAAAAGAAGGAGGGGAGATAAGGACGATAGATGTTTGATATGAAAGAAGAAGCAAAACCAGACCAGAGCACCTGGGGACCATTCACTGAGTTGATTAGAAGTGAAAAAAAAATGTCTCCGAAACGAGCGTTTACAAAGGATGTGGGCAGCGGCTCCGGTCCTGGGGATAGGGCCCGCTGGTGTGGGGCCCCGAAGGTGTTAAAAACAAAAAAGAAGTGAAACGTCAAACGAAGAGATGGACAAAGGCATCACAACGATTAGTATCCGAGCGACTTACGGTGACTTCCAGGTCTCCTTTTGCCTTACAGTCGGTGAACTTTGAGGTCTCCTGTTGCACAGTCTCTACCAGCACTGTCTGGCTAGACCTGAGGGACATTGATTAAAAAAATTTAATATACATAATTTTATCATCAAAAAGTCAGGGTAAAAGTGAGGAAGGAGTGGGGAGGAGAAGGGAAAAGGGAGAAGGGGCAAAAAGGAAGAAGGACAAGGGAAAGAAAAGAGAGAAGGATGGGGCGGGGATAAGAAAGCTGACACTCGGGAATCAAACTCTGGTCTCCTGCCCGCAGCAGCAAAGCGCCTAAAACGCTACACCATAGACCCCAGTTTTCCCCCCACTTCAATAAGTTTCTTCTTCACTAGCCAGTCAGAGAGCCAAACCACCACAACACCACAGCTGCCAGCACACCTCAAATGCAGACTGTAAAAAAACAACAAAAAACAGTGTTTTTAGATTAAGTAAGTATTTTGTGGCACTTGCAACACAATAAGGTCATACAAGTGCCGGAGATTAAAAGTGCTAGAAAAGAGTAACAAACACCAAAAGAAAGGAGAGGAGGAGCAGGAGAGATCAGGGCCATAGAAGGAGGAGGAGGAGACATCAGGACGATAGGAAAGAGGAAGCAAATCTCAACAGAGCACCCATCAACCACCCGCCCAGAGGGTGTGATCACACCAATGAATTCCTCTCAAAGAAATCTAACTACCTTATCTGCTCGATAGTTTTGCGAGCGTTCTCGAGAGAGGGCACAAAACGCTGGACGAATCCGTCGGTCAACATTTGCACAACTTTCGGATCCACATTCACTTCCGCTGAGAGGAAAAAAAAACAACAGCATGGAGGTTAATCAATTTGAGTTAAGAGAAACATGCACATACAAACATATCCATTTAGTGCTGGTAACAAGTAAGACTGAAAGACAGTAACAGACAATGAGAAAAGAATGAGACACTTAAGTCACCCTCTGAGAACCCATCCACGTGAGAGCGTAAAATGAAAATGTAACCAATTCAGGGCTTTACCTGCCATTTTCAACGTCACTTTTGGGGGGGGGGGGGGGGGGGGGTTAAGTAAGAGTTTAACGGCACTTGCAACACAATCAGGTCATATAAATTCCCAAGATTAGAGGTGTTACAAAAGATACAGAATAACTACACAACATGCTAGGGTGTTTAAAAACTTCAAAAAAAAAAATAAAATAAAAAGAATCTCAAAGATAATAGCTCTCATCTTTGCATCAATTTCAACAAAATTTTGAACAAACATAATTCATTCATAGGGATGTCAGATTTGTCAATAAGAAGAATTCAATTTATGTGTATGAGAACTACCAAATCTTTTAAAATTTCAACCAAAATTTAGAAAAATGGAAAACTTTATTTCTCAATAAAAAAGGGCTCCGCTACAAGGTGTGGTCAACTCATTTTTGTCTCAAATCTCATTGCTTTGAAAAAGTTTTGAGGAAGTTTGTGGATGAAAATGAATTATTGCCGTTGACGAAATTTCATTCCAGAGGGTCGGAGACGCACCTCACACATCATAAGTGGCTCCTGCATTGAGGCAGGAAAGTTTTGAGGAAATCCGTACAAGCCGAAAGCTTGCAAATGGTCACTGCATTCCCGTGACTTAAACTCCCTGAATTAAACCCATTCAGAATTTTTGATAGACAGTGTCTTTGGAAACAACCAACCAAAAACTAAATGTTTAACAGATGGTACAAAAAAGTGAAACAGAAACTAAACATACCACAGCTTTATTCAAATTCTCAGCAGCGTATTCAAGCTTGCCTTGATAGAAATGATTAATGTCAATTTTATATTATATGAGAATAAATATCAATTTGTTCTCTACTCATGAATAACATATATTGCACATTTGAAAGATGTTGCAATGTTTTGCATTTCACTCAATTTCTTCTTCTTCTTCTATCCCGTGGTTGGGGCAACCGTGGGGGCACCACTGCATGGGAAAACCAGCTCTCGCCATCTATTTTCCTGCTCTCCTCAGATTGTCACCCATCGTCTTTCCTGTCCACTCTGTAATGTTGTCCTCCCATCTCCTTCTCTGCCTTCCTCTCTTTCTCTTTCCTTGTACGGTTCCTTGCAGGATTGTTTTGGCAAGTTCTGTGGATCTTGTGACGTGCCCATACCATTTTAGTTTTCGTCTCTTCACTGTGGTCAGTAGATCTTCATATTGCCCCACTGCGTTGGTGATTCTCTTTCGTACTTCAGCATTTGAAACGTGGTCTTTGTGCGAGATGTCAAGGAGTCTGCGGTAACATCTCATCTCTGTGGTCTGAATCTTTTTCTCTAATTCTGCTGTTAGTGTCCACGACTCGCAGGCGTATACAAATATTGAGATGACCAGTGAGCGCATTAGTCTAATTTTTGAGCACTCAATTTAGGCAGACATTTAAAAAACACCCAATGTAACAACGACTTACCATTTGCATAAAGGTTGCTGTGCAGAGGTTCGGCGTTGTACAAATCCTTCATGGACAGAGTGCCGGTCTCTTCATCTTCCGGTTGAGCCGCAGCGCCCCCCTCAGCACCCACAAGGCCAGCTCTGGCTACACCCGCCGCTTCTTCGTTAGCCGCGGCGTCGCCCTGCTCTGCTCCTTCGTTTGCGTTGCCGGGACTCTCCGTCTCTTCGGCATCAGACGTCTCCACTTCTGTCGGCTCCACGTTGGAGTTGTCCCCCTCTTCACCTGATTTCGCCTTTATTTTGAGATTACAAGGATGCTACAGCATAAACAAAAGGTATGATAGAAAATATCTACTTATCGACTTATTGTACAAATTTTACGCCTCACAACGACACTATTTCGACCAATTAGGAGGCGGGCTGTTTCAAATTTCAATCTGCCTGTCACAATCAACTCGAGCTCAGAGAGAATTACGTCTCAGCAAGAAAAAACAGGAGATCCTTGATAAAAATCTTTACAAGTTGGAAGAAGCCCTATGATTATATAAATAGATCTAGATATCTAGATGTCTAGTCATAGTGTCGATGGAGGCATAAAACACAGTATGAGTATTTCAAAAACGTGTTTAGAAGACTAGACACATATGTATTCCCATGTAGCTACAACTGTAACAATCTTATTTGAATCCCCTTACCGTTTGGTAGCGTCAATTGCCACCGAGTGACGCGGTGGCAATTTATAAAAAATTGACTTTTTCTCAATTACCACCGAGTGAAGCGGTGTCAAGTCTCAAAACAACACTATCTTTAGCAATACATAATGTGTGTCTAATGGGTCAATTTGTTCTCTCAACTAATTTCATTGGACGAGCATCTAGTCTAGAGCTATGGTACCAACTTGGCGTGTTTTCAATGAGACGTAGGCCTAGATCTAGGCTAGCATTAGCCTACACTTTGGTGTAGAACCAACACAGGCTAATGTAGAAGTAGAAGGTCACAAACGCACACAAACTCAAGCAGAAATTCACGTTATATCGGGGAACATAAATCGGGGGACAGGGGTCAGGAAAAGAGGGTCAGAGAGGCGAACGCACAACACCGAGCACTCGAGCACAATAATAAGCTAGATCTAGATCTACCCACCCACCAACGCAAAAGAGCTCCAATTGACTCGGTGGCAATTGACAAAAAGTGAATTTTTGTCAATTGCCACCGTGTCACTCGGTGGCAATTGACACTACCTTACCGTTTATAATGCTTGCTTGACAATTTAAGATAGAATTATAATCTAGAAGTAGTAGAAGGCTAATCTAGATCTAGATCTATATCTAGAATTTTCTAGATCTAGATCTAGACTAGATCTAGATCTAATGACTAATAATAGTCTTGAGAATGCACAACGCTCAACAATTCAAAGTCTGACCAAGTCTAGTCTTAGTCCGGCAAAAGAGATTAGATCTAGATCTAAAATCTAGATCTAGATATCTAGATCTAGAATCTATAATCTAGAATCTAGATCTAAATCTATAAATGTAGATCAAGAAATCAGTATTGAGTATCAGTCACATGTTTTTCATGTTTACACGCGTTCAACGTATTGTTTACGTCACTCACCATGCTGATTGCGGGAAGTTACAAGTTACAGTAGCACTTTCTTATTTCTGGATAAACATTCAAGTTCTGCTGCGCCTATTTAACCTGTCAGATTAGGAAACACATCATGAGGTCAAGAATGCACGCGTGTATAGCCAATAGTACCACAAGCCAAATAACTTTTAACTCCTAATAAAGATTAGTGACAAGTGTTCGATTAGGGGGGCAGCTGCTTCTGTTTTCATTCAACCACTTCCTTGTGACTTCCGCTTAAGAGGTCAAAGGCGAAAGTTCAATGGGTTCTTCTTTCTTATTTTTTAACTAAACTGGTATCGAAAAATAATTTCCAAGGTTTTCATTATTGAAATGTCTTTATTTTTAAAATAAACCATTTGAAAGAGCTATTGTTATATTTCATAAGTTAATTACTGTGTGATTTTTTTTTTAAGTTTCAGTTTGAAAAATGAATAGCACAGTTGTATTGTTTCGTTGCATCTGCGTAATTCAAAATGCAGACGAAATCAGCTGGCAAAATCGAAAGTAGAGTTATTTCCCTTCATTCGCCTTGACCTACTTGTAGATTATGTCATTTTATTTTAGTCATCTCCCCGAGCCCTACACCCTTTTTATTCACAAAAACCGTTCAATTTCAAACATTTTTTGTATGAAAGACGACCATGACACAAATACTAAAGAAATACAGTTGCAGTGGGTACTTTTTGTGATTAACAAACTATAGTCACTCATTGAAGTTACTTTATAAATAGACCAACTCTTCATGTCTCGATAGTTTAGACGAGTAGATGTGGTAACGGTCATAGCGACCTTGCTCATGTACTTTAATTTCACTTAGAATTCAGGGTACTGTAAGCTTCAGTTTATTGAGTTTATTAAAATGCACACTGCAGAATAGGCTGCGTTTACATTTTGCTGTACATTCTGCATTAGCAAAACGGTCGAGGCACAGAGTGAGCGGAGGTTACTATGTCAATTCCAGGTCAATACACGATAGGTCAGGGGTCATGTAGATCTGTTGATGTGGAAAACACTGAGAATTTACCACATTTTGCGCATTTCTTTTCTTTATTTGCATTATTTTATCGTCGTCATTGGTATAAATTGTGTTTTGTTTCTGTTTATAACCAGAAAGGATATTGTAATTGGAAAAACAGTAAAAAAACCAACGAAAGTGGCCTCGGAGTGTCACGTGACTTTAGCGATGGGAACAACATATTCATGATAATAAACAGCCAAGCCGAAGTCAGCTTTCCTACCTTCCTAATGTTTTCCCTCAGGCTCATTTTTAAAGTGTTATAATGGCTTTGAGTACTCAGTAAAACTGTTTAACATCCATGTGACATGTCATAGCTGTTTTTAGAAGAAAAGTTTGCTGTTCGCTATCCGTTAGAAGGTAGGCTAACTACCTCAGAATGACAGCGAATTCTCAAGCTACAGCTGTTGACACGCAATGAAGCCCAAAAAAGGTAAGAGAGCAACTTCAGCTTCGTCCATTCCAATCAATGTCAAGTGTATCATTCTTGCCTGTAACGACGTCCCCTGGTTCAGTTCTGGAAAATAGTTCATATTCTTGTCTCTTTTCGTAAAATGTAGGCTACTCTGACAATGAACCATTCAACTGAACTTAATCGACCAGAATCGAGAAATCTAGACCTTTCTAATTCTCACCACCGTTAGTCCTAGAAGAATCTAAAAATGTATTTACTGATGGATGGCTATCACGTTCTTAGTTCTAAGTGTACGGGAGTAAACTTGATCTAGATCTAGTACGAAGGACTTATCATGCACCTTTGATATGTTCTGGAATCTAGATCTAGTAACTGTTAGGCACTAGATGATCTAGATCTAGATCTAGAATCTAGAGATCTAAATCTAGTCTAGAATCTAGAATCTGTCCCTGCCCTACTCCTTATAATCCTATAAACACAGTATATACATGATGACATTGATTGATAGTTAACACTTTTAAAGAAGTCCTTCTGATTCTGTTGCTAGAATAGAGTAGATCTACTGAGGCAACTACTCCAAACTTCCCACCCCAGTGTAAGAGATCTAGATATCTAGAATATCTAGATTTCAATTTCAGTATCTAGAGGCTAGGCTATTGAACGTTGAATACCAAGTCATTTCGTAATTAGAGTCATTTCGTCACACCGGTGCAGTCAAGACCTCACAGTCATCTCTTCACACCCCAAATCCTCAAGGTTGAATGGAGACAGTCATCGTAGAAGACTTGCAAACATCAATTAAATGCACATTGTCATAGCAATCTCAAATCACGATTTTTTGGGGAGGGTTGGGGCTGGGTGGGGAAGGACGGGGTGGGGGGTGGCTGTGCGAGTCGTTGTGCCTACCTGATCAGCTACACCGTTCTAATTATAATATTGAAATCTAGGCCTATCAAGTCAGATCAACAAAGTTTTTAGGTATTGTTGATGAAAGGTGTGATTCGCAAGATCATTATCATTATTAGAGTTTTCTGTTAAAAATCTATTAGAAATGTACTGCAATTTTGCTAGATGCTAGACCCTTACTTTCAAACAAAGCCTTTCTCTTTACCAGACATCGTTTGCCTTTTAAAAAATATTTACACTATTGTTCAAGGATGGAACAGTTGGGAAGAAGATTGAATTTACATTAATAATTTATATATAACTTCAAAAAAAGCTTTAGGCTGATCCTCCAACACTCTATCCTAGCAGATCATACAATTTTGGAGAGATATTTATAATTTTTTTTTTTTTTCGAAGTCATTTCGTCACACATGATTAGGGTGTGACGAAATGACCGGTTACCAGGCTATTTTTTGTCTTAACTTTGTAAGTTTGTTGGGTTTTTTTTTTTTATTTCAAACTCAGAGCAGTTTGTAATTTATATTATAGTTAGTCTCCCTAGAGAATAGTCTCGGCAAAGGAAGTTGTTAGTCTTTCTGAGAACTTTGAGAGAGGGAGTCTGAAATGTTTGGCCGACTTGTACCTTAGTGGGTGCCTCTTGGGTTTTGGGCTTGTCTTGTCAGTCATAGTAAAGCTGTTTTGTGGGTGGTTGGCGGGTGCTCTGGTGTGGTTTGCTCTCCTATCAAACATCTAACATTCTGATCTTCCCTTCATCTTTTTTATGTTTGTTACTCTCTTGTAACAGCCTTCTGGCGCTCATACGACCTCATATGCAGTTGCGAGCGCTGTAAAACCTCTACTAAAACAAAAACTGTTTTAAAGCTGTTTTTGTGAGATTACACACACACACCTGTTATGGGAGGAATTCCGTAACGAGGAACCACTAGGCCTATATGCTGCGAAATAGAGAGGGTTGGATTCTATTAGGTGGGTTTTGGTAAGGGCAAGGGCTTTAGCTTTTGTTAGGGTTAGGGTTCGGATTGGGTTTCTTCTTTATTGCGTTTGTTGGGGTGGTCGCCCGTTGTACGGATGTCCTTCCCCTATTTTTACACTATTACACAGGTCTAGTTCTTTGCTTCTTGGACTTCAACATTTTTTAGTCGGGGGGGGGGGGGGGGGCGGCTGGCTACTAGTTTTGTGTAAAACTTGACTTTTCTGACGACTTAAACATGATAAGTGGGTGGTTGGCGGGTGCTTTGGTGTGGTTTGCTCCTTCTTTCCTCTATCAAACATCAATCGTCCTTATCTCCCCTCCTTCTTTTTTGTGTTTGTTACTCTCTTGTAACACCTCTAATCTTCTGGCGCTCATATGACCTTATATGCAGTTGCGAGTGCCGTAAAACTCTTACTAAAACTAAAACATGATAACTTCATTCATTTCAACAGCTTGAACTTTCCTCTTTACTTCTATTAGGTTTGAAAATGTTTTTGAAGTTTGGAGTTAAGACCTAGTAGTGATGAAGTCACTACTCGCCAACAGGATCCCATGGATCTATTCCATATCATGTGTGTTTGCCAACTTGTATGCACTTTTTTTTCCCTTTCTTTGTCCTTCATCTTGAAAGTTAAACTACTCTAGATCATCCTTGATGATAGATCTTTACAAAATTCAGCACTTTTTTTATGCTGTGCTTTGCATTCTTTGATCATGTTTCTACCCCATTGTAAAGTACCGTAAAGTGTAATCCAGTACCATATGGACCCATTACTTCATCATCGTCAACATCACCATCATCATTTGATTGTCTCTTTCATCCTGTTATAATTGGATAGGCTGTCATTGGGAGCTCTAGAATCTCCGCCTGAATCTCTGTTTTGTGTGGGTGGTTGGGGGGGGCGCCACTGGTAGGTCCTACTTCTTTACTTTCCCTCTGTTGTTTCTGTCTCTTTGTCTTGCTTTTTCCCAGCAGCACTAAATTACCATTATTGTGTCGATTTGTTTCTCTTTACTCAAACAAACAAACGAATCTGTTTTGGGCGACCTTCTCCACCTTGATCCAACTGTGTCCCATACATACCCATTTTTACTTACTCCTTTAAAATTTTCTCGTCTTTTGGCTCTGGCTTGTGATAAGAGACTTGTGCATTTGCTTGAACTGTAATCGTATTATAATATCGTGTTTAATTGTAGTCATAACTTTGTTTCCATACAAAGAGCTTTTTGATAAAGTGAAACATTTAACATTTGATTAGCTTTTTTAACCCCCCCACCCCCCGTGTATTTTAAAGAATACCGGTACTAATAAATGGATATATATATGAGCTCTTGGACATTCTTTTCTTGTTTTTATACAGCGTGAAGTAGCTCTACCTATTTTGTGATGATGTATGAAATTTTCCGCTCTTTGTGAAATCCCACGCATGGTTGGAGGGCTCCACTGACAACTTCTTTTTATAAATTCATCGGCGGTTGTTTTGGCATATATATCTGCGTGTCTCTCTTGCTTTTTCCCAGCATTAAATGAGCTTAATTTATAAAATTATTGTGTCAGACTCAGTTTGGTTCCCTTTGGTTCTCAAACTCATCAAAGTCTATGATTAAATTTATTGGTCTGGATAGATGTCTAAGAAATACATCAAATTGAACAGTGTTTTTTACCGGGGCCTCTCACCTCTTTCGACTCCACTGAGTGCCTTTCTTTCCACTTTTTGACTGTGAGCTGATAGTTGGTGGAGTTGGAATGAAAAAGAATTTATTGACTTTGCTCGATGGTGGTCGATAGGAAAAAAATGAGAATTAACTTGCATTGAAGTTCACAATTATTTACCAATTACTTATAATTACAGCATAATCATTTTATAATCTATTTCTAAGAACGGGTACATCATCGGATCGAGCTGCTGAGTTTTTTAAACTTCTAAATCCA